CCCAAGAGCACAGTGTCATCGGCAAAGAGCAGCTGTGACACTCCCACTTTGTGTGTGATTCTTTATCTTTTAATCCACGCTCTTGCCAAGACCCTCTGCATTTACTTCTCTTACAACCCCATCTATAAATATATTAAACAACCACGGTGACATCACACATCCTTGTCTAAGGCCTACTTTTACTGGGAAAAAATTTCCCTCTTTCCTACATACTCTAACTTGAGCTCACTATCCTCGTTAAAAACTCTTCACTGCTTTCAGTAACCTACCTCCTACACCATACACTTGCAACATCTGCCACATTGCCCCCCTATCCACCCTGTCATACGCCTTTTCCAAATCCATAAATGCCACAAAGACCTCTTTAGCCTTATCTAAATACTGTTCACTTATATGTTTCACTGTAAACACCTGGTCCACACACCCCCTACCTTTCCTAAAGCCTCCTTGTTCATCTGCTATCCTATTCTCCGTCTTACTCTTAATTCTTTCAATTATAACTCTACCATACACTTTACCAGGTACACTCAACAGACTTATCCCCCTATAATTTTTGCACTCTCTTTTATCCCCTTTGCCTTTATACAAGGAACTATGCATGCTCTCTGCCAATCCCTAGGTACCTTACCCTCTTCCATACATTTATTAAATAATTGCACCAACCACTCCAAAACTATATCCCACCTGCTTTTAACATTTCTATCTTTATCCCATCAATCCCGGCTGCCTTACCCCTTTCATTTTACCTACTGCCTCACGAACTTCCCCCACACTCACAACTGGCTCTTCCTCACTCCTACAAGATGTTATTCCTCCTTGCCCTATACACGAAATCACAGCTTCCCTATCTTCATCAACATTTAACAATTCCTCAAAATATTCCTTCCATCTTCCCAATACCTCTACCTCTCCATTTAATAACTCTCCTCTCCTATTTTTAACTGACAAATCCATTTGTTCTCTAGGCTTTCTTAACTTGTTAATCTCACTCCAAAACTTTTTCTTATTTTCAACAAAATTTGTTGATAACATCTCACCCACTCTCTCATTTGCTCTCTTTTTACATTGCTTCACCACTCTCTTAACTTCTCTCTTTTTCTCCATATACTCTTCCCTCCTTGCATCACTTCTACTTTGTAAAAACTTCTCATATGCTAACTTTTTCTCCCTTACTACTCTCTTTACATCATCATTCCACCAATCGCTCCTCTTCCCTCCTGCACCCACTTTCCTGTAACCACAAACTTCTGCTGAACACTCTAACACTACATTTTTAAACCTACCCCATACCTCTTCGACCCATTGCCTATGCTCTCATTAGCCCATCTATCCTCAATAGCTGTTTATATCTTACCCTAACTGCCTCCTCTTTTAGTTTATAAACCTTCACCTCTCTCTTCCCTGATGCTTCTATTCTCCTTGTATCCCATCTACCTTTTACTCTCAGTGTAGCTACAACTAGAAAGTGATCTGATATATCTGTGGCCCCTCTATAAACATGTACATCCTGAAGTCTACTCAACAGTCTTTTATCTACCAATACATAATCCAACAAACTACTGTCATTTCGCCCTACATCATATCGTGTATACTTATTTATCCTCTTTTTCTTAAAATATGTATTACCTATAACTAAACCCCTTTCTATACAAAGTTCAATCAAAGGGCTCCCATTATCATTTACACCTGGCACCCCAAACTTACCTACCACACCCTCTCTAAAAGTTTCTCCTACTTTAGCATTCAAGTCCCCTACCACAATTACTCTCTCACTTGGTTCAAAAGGCTCCTATACATTCACTTAACATCTCCCAAAATCTCTCTCTCTCCTCTGCATTCCTCTCTTCTCCAGGTGCATACACGCTTATTATGACCCACTTCTCGCATCCAACCTTTACTTTAATCCACATAATTCTTGAATTTACACATTCATATTCTCTTTTCTCCTTCCATAACTGATCATTTAACATTACTGCTACCCTTCCTTTGCTCTAACTCTCTCAGATACTCCAGATTTAATCCCATTTATTTCCCCCCACTGAAACTCTCCTACCCCCTTCAGCTTTGTTTCGCTTAGGGCCAGGACATCCAACTTCTTTTCATTCATAACATCAGCAATCATCTGTTTCTTGTCATCCGCACTACATCCACGCACATTTAAGCAACCAGTTTTATAAAGTTTTTCTTCTTCTCTTTTTTAGTAATTGTATACAGGAGAAGGGGTTACTAGCCCATTGCTCCCGGCATTTTAGTCGCCTCATACGACACGCATGGCTTACGGAGGAAAGATTCTTTTCCACTTCCCCATGGACAATAGAAGAAATAAAAAAGAACAAGAGCTATTTAGAAAAAGGAGAAAAACCTAGATGTATGTATATATATATATGCATGTGCGTGTCTGTGAAGTGTGACCAAAGTGTAAGTAGGAGTAGCAAGATATCCCTGTTATCTTAGCGTGTTTATGAGACAGAAAAAGAAACCAGCAATCCTACCATCATGCAAAACAGTTACAGGTTTTTGTTTCACAGTCATCTGGCAGGACGGTAGTACTTCCCTGGGTGGTTGCTGTCTACCAACCTACTGAAATGGATTAATTGTCTATACATTATTTCTTATGGGAAATATTGCTTCACCTTTCGGCCGTTTCGAGTTTAGGCCTAGCTCCTGGAACAGATTACGGCCGAAACTTGGGGTTCCACTGTACCTGCAAAGTTAAGAAGTACCTGCAAAGTTAAGAAGTAGAGTGGAACCTCGGTATACGACCAGCTCCCTACTTGAACAAAGCTCAGCACTCGACCAAACAAATACGACTTGCCAGAACTTTGCTGTTAACTATTTTATGTTTCTTCGCATTTTTTTTTTTTTTGCATTAATTGTATAAATAAGTCACTATGGGGCCTATGAAGATTAGTGATAACAGCCAACCAAACAGAAAATTGGTTGGGAAGAACTTGTTCGATACTCAAACGGAACGGCACTCGAACAGCCTTCTGGAATGAATTAAGGTTGCATACCGAGGTTCCACTGTACCTACAAAGTTAAGAAGTACTTACAAGGTTAAGAAGCACCTGCAAGCTATCACTGATCAACTGAGATGTGGGTAAAATTTTACCTGCTGCTTGACAGCAATAACAACCTGCATGATCAATCTACCTATCAAGAAGACACCAAGACCTTATGTCACAGGACTGGTAATCCTCAGAAATATTATAGTATTATTATATTATATATATATATATATATATATATTATATATATATATATATATATATATATATATTATATATAATATACAGTGGAACCTCTACTTGCTAGCGAGTCCACGTGCGAGTTTTTCCAAATACGAGCAGTCGACGGGTCAATTTTTTGCTTCCATACGCAAGCAAAATTTCCACAAGCGAGCAGACCTCAAGGCAGGTTCCTTGGCACTGGTGAGGGGTTCTTGCTCTTGATCTCAGGAATTGTACCTCATTTGTTTGTTGGACTATCTTATTGAAACTTGGGCAATGTATGATGGAAAGATGCTTCTTAACATACACCAAAAATGAAAGAAATCTAAGCATAAATAATGGAGTTCACTTCTCAGCAATTAGCCACCCCTTAGTGGTAATTTCGAATGGTTTTTATGATTGTATTCTTGTTTTTTTGGGTCTCATTTGATAGAATGGAAGATATATTACAGAAATAGATATGATTTTGATTGTTTTCATGACAAAAATACCTTGAAATAGAGCTCAACCTAGGAGAAATGGCCCATTGCTTGGCTGTTTCAGAGTAAACAAATGACGTCACTGTCCATTCCAATATGCAGTTGTGAATAGGTTGATATATATTTATACAATTATTGCAATAAGGAATAACAGTAAATTTTATATTTTTTGTGTGAATAAAAATTACAAATTATTTATATAATAATAATAATAATAATAATAATAATAATAATATGTATAATAACAACATGTATAATAATAATAATACTTTAATACAATAATCATAATAATAATAATATAATATGTACAATAATAATACATATATAATAATGTACTACATATAATAATTATAATAATAGATGGCTTCAAAAGGCCGTCACTAGATGGCAGTGTTTACCACAACAAAGAGGGAGCGGTTGTGGCCACCTCCACCTGTTACATAATGACATATTTTATTCATTCTAGAGTATATATCGTGTTTCTGTGTTATTTATATTGTCTGCTATGTCATATTAAATGAGCTGTGATATATAAATTAGACGTATAGTTGATATTAGCGAAATTATTCATGAAGTACAGTGGACCCTCGACCAACAATGGCATCGTATAATGTTAAATTCGACTAGCGATACATTTTAACGCTAACATTTTGCCTCGACTAACGCTAAAAAACCTCGACTAACGATATTCATTCTCGGGTACCAATTAACCCTTTGACTGTCGAGGCTGTATATATACGTCTTACGAGGTACCGTGTTTGACGTATATACAGTGGACCCTTAACCAGCGATGGCATCGATTAACGATAAATCTGACTAGCGATACATTTTAATGCAAAAATTTTGCCTCAACTACCGCTTAAAAACCCGACCAGAGCTATTCGTTCCATACCATACGCGTCCACTTTGGCCTGAGCGCGCCTCGCTTGTCCCTTGGGTGCCAGTGTTTACAAGCCAGCCAGCCACCGCGGTCGCTTCCAAACATACAACAACTGGAACATTTCATATTATCACAGCCTTTGTAGTGATTGCACCTGCAAAATAAGTCACCATGGGCCCCAAGAAAGCTTCTAGTGCCAACCCTACAGCAAAAAGGGTGAGAATTACTATGGAGATGAAGAAAGAGATCATTGCTAAGTATGAAAGTGGAGTGCGTGTCTTGAGGTGGTCAGGTTGTATAATAAACCCAATCAACCATCGCTACTATTGTGGGTAAGAAACGGCAATCAAGGAAACTGTTCTTGCCAAAGGTGCAGCTGCTGCTGCACCACAGTCAGCTGTTGTTGTTGCTGCACCACCATCGCTGTATTACTCGAAGATGTGGAGAGAGTGTTGTTGGTGTGGCTTAACGTGAAACAATTACCGAGAAACGATTAACCCCGGAGGGTTAGCCACCCAGGATAACCCAAGAAAGTCAGTGCATCATCGAGGACTGTCTAGCTTATTTCCATTGGGGGTCCTTAATCTTGTCCCCCAGGATGCGACCCACAACAGTTGACTAACACCCAGGTGAACAGGAAAAAATGCCTGGAACTAGTGCTCATATTGGTCAGGTTAGTGGGGAGGATGTGGAAGAGTTGGTGGAGGAGGACAATGAAGAACAAAGCACTGATGAGCTGCTAGATCATCTTCAACAGTAAGAGGCCACACCTGAGGAAACTGCTTCGGAGGAGGGGAGAGAGAAATTGAAGAAGTTGCCTACTTCAAAGATTAAGGAAATGTGTGCAATGTGGCTTAAAGTGCAAACCTTTTTTGATAAAAATCACCCTCACACAGCTATTGCAAGCCGTGCTGGTGACTATTACACTGACAATGTTGTGAAACACTTTAGGATAAAGGAACGAGAGGTACAGGCCTCTATGGACAGATATGTTGTGCGACACATGTCCAGTGACTCTGAAGCTGGTCCTAGTGGCATTAAAAGAACAAGGGAAGTAACCCCAGAAAAAGACTTGCTACATCAAGTGCTAATGGAAGGGGATTCCCCTTCTAAACACTAACAAGATCAACGGTCTCCCCTCCTCCCATCCCATCAATCATCACCAGATCTTCAATAAAGGTAAGTGTCATGTAACTGTGCATGTCTTCTTCATTTTGTGTGTATTAAAATTAATATTTCATGTGGTAAAATTTTTTTTTTCAATACTTTGGGGTGTCTTGCACAGATTAATTTGATTTCCATTATTTCTTATGGGGAAAATTAACTTGACTAACGATTATTTCGATTAATGATGAGCTCTCAGGAACGGATTAATATCGCTGGTTGAGGGTCCACTGTATACTCATAAATTCTAGCGGCTTCAAATCAAGCAGGAGAAAGCTGGTAGGCCCACATGTGAGAGAATGGGTCTGTGTGGTCAGTGTGTACCATATAAAAAAAATCCTGGAGCACGCAGTGCATAATGAGAAAAAAAAAACTCCGACCGTTTTTTTTAATTAAAATGGCGACTTTGTGGTCTATTTTCGTATAGTATTTATGGTTATATTCTCGTCGTTTTCTTGGTCTCATTTGATAGAATGGAAAACATATTATAGAAATAGAGGTGATTTTGAATGATTTTACTATAAAAAGAACCTAGAAATGGAGCTCAAAGTAGGGGAAATGTTTGATTTTTGCCAATGTTCAAAAGTAAACAAATGATGCCATTGTCCAATAAATATCCCTCTAGCCATTCTAATATGCAGTCATGAATGGGTTGATGTTATTTATACAATTATTACAGTATTGCAGTAGTCTGCAAATAGTAAGTCCTCTATTTTTTGTTTGAATAAAAATTCAAAATAGAAAGCAAGAGTAATATCAGAGGGGCCTGAGACATGACTGATGAGCAAAGAAAATGTTATTTTAAAGCCAGGAATGTCTGCATTGTTCATTCTGGACCTTATTTTGAAATTGTCATATTTTTTAGTTTTCATGAAATTGGCCAAATAGCAAATTTCTGACCACATTATTAGGTAGTTGAAATCGGTAAATGGGCAGTTTCTTGTACTCAATCGATAGAAAAAATGGAGTTCGAAGGAAATAGCTATGAGTTTGGGCGACTGGAACAATGGAATTAGCCGAAAATAGGGCTCAAAGTGGGCGAAATCGCCGATTTGTAAACAGCGCCGAGGTCGCTAACTTCGCGAGAGTATAATTCCATCAGTTTTCCATCAAATTTCATTTTTTTGGTGTCATTACAATTGGGAAAAGATTCTCTATCATTTCATAAGAAAAAATAATTTTTTTTTTTAAATTTTGCAACACCAGGAGACACCTCAGGATTGGGGGTTGCGACAGTCAAAGGGTTAATATCGTTAGTCGAGGGTCCACTGTATTTTGCCCAGTCTCCAGACAAACTCTTGTCCACCGCTGACACCACCCATACCACTACATGAATGACATATTTTATTCATTCTAGAGTATATATCATATTTCTATGTTATTCATATTGTTTGTTATGTCATACTAGATGAACTGTGATAGATAAATAAGCCGTATAGATGATATTAGCGAAATTATTCATGAAGTATTTTGCCCGGTGTCTAGACAAACTCTCATCCACCGTCAACACCGCCCATACCACTACATGAATGACATATTTTATTTATTTCAGAGTATATATCAGGTTTCTATGTTATTTATATTGTTTATTATGTCATATTAGATGAAGTGAGATAGATAAATAAGCCGTAGAGTTGATATTAGCAAAATTATTGAAGTACAGAATTCCACTGGAATGGATTAATTACATTTCAATTAATTTAAATGAGGAAAATTGACTCTGCAAATGAGCAAATCCAGTTGCGAGCAAGGTCATGGAATGGATTAAACTCGCAAGTAGAGGTTCCACTGTATATTATATATATTATATTATACAGTGGACCCCCAACATTCGATATTAATCCGTTCTTGAGAGCTCATCAAATGTCAAAAATATCGAAAGCCGAATTAATTTTCCCCATAAGAAATAATGGAAATAAAATTAATCCATGCAAGACACCCAAAAGTATGAAAAAAAAATTTTGCCACATGAAATATCAAGTTTAATGCAATAGAATAATTACACTACCAACAATAACAATAGATTAATAACAATAGAATAATTGACACTTACCTTTAGCCCTTTGAGGGTTTTGGCTGTAGTAGTACGGCTTACGACCCAGGGTTTTTGACGTTCTAGTACGCCTAAATTCTAGCGCCCTCAAATCTAGTGGGAGAAAGCTGGTAGGCATACATATGAAAGAATGGGTCTATGTGGTCAGTGTGCGCAGTATAAAAAAAAATCTTGCAGCACACAGTGCATAATGAGAAAAAAAAACTTTGTGTTTTTTGGAATAAAACAGCGACTTTGCACTGTATTTTCGTATGGTATTTATTGTTGTATTCTAGTTTTCTTGGTCTCATTTTATAGAATGGTAGACATATTACAGAAACTGAGATGATTATGACTGGTTTTACAGTGAAAAGTACCTTGAAATTGAGCTCAAAGTAGCAGAAATGTTCGATTTTTACCAAAGTTCAAAAGTAAACAAATCACGCCAAGCGTCCAATATACGTCAACTGGTGAGTCTAATATTCTTTCACAAGTGCGCTGATATTATTTATACCATTTCTACACTAATTCAGCAGTCTGCATAACAGTAAATCTTCTATTTTTTGTAAGAATAAAAATTGAAAGTGGAAAGCCAAAGAAATAAAAGAGGGGCCTGGGGATGTGACTAACGAACAGAGGAAATGTTATTTTAGTGTCAGGAATGTCTTTCTTGTTTATTCTGGACCCTATTTGGAAATTGACATCTTTTGAAATTTGTGTGAAATTGGCAAAATTGCTAAATTCTGACCACTGTATTGGATAGTTGAAATCAGTAAATTGGGGGTTTCTTGTACTCATTCAATAAAAAAAACGGAATTCTAGAGAAATAGTTATGATTTTTGTCATGTAGAACACTGGAATTGGCCGAAAATAGGGCTCAAATTGGGCAAAATCGCTGATGCGTAAACATCGTCGAGACCACTAACTTCGCAAGAGCATAATTCCGTAAGTTTTCCATCAAATTTCATACTTTTGGTGTCATTATGATCGGGAAAAGATCCTCTATCTTTTCATAAGATTTTTTTTTTTTTTAATTTGGCCGACCCTGAGAACAAGTCTCGGAGAGGGCCTGTCGACCCTCAAAGGGTTAATGAAGATCTGGTGATGACTGATGGGATGGGAGGAGGGGAGAGTGTGGATGGTGTTAGTGTTTAGAAGGGGAATCCCCTTCCATTAGGACTTGAACTGGCAGTCTCACCATGCCTTACCACACTGTGTATGCCACTACGATTCTTAAATCTTTCAAACCAACCTTTGCTGGCCTTAAATTCACTCACATCACCACTAGTTGCAAGCAATTTCTTTACCAAATCATCATGCACTCCGACACATGCACTCCACTTTCGTACTTTGCAATTATCTCTTTCTTCATTTCAATAGTTATTAGTGCCTTTTTTCTTGAAGGGGTGGCACTAGAAGCTTTCTTGGGGCCCATGGTTACTTATTTTGCAGAAACAAGCACCAAAAACAGTGATAATATGGATAATATGGAATGTACCGAATGTATCCTTAGATGCGCGCAAACTGGCTGGCTTGTAAACACTGGCACACACAGGGCAGTTCAGGCCGCACGTGGACACGTCTTGTACAAATCGTATCGAATGTCGGGTTTTCCATCGAATGTTGAGGCTAAATTTTTGCGTTAAAATGCATCGAATGTCGGATTTATCGAATGTCGGATTTATCGAATGTCGATGCCATTGAATGTCGGGGGTCCACTGTATATGTATATATAATATAATATACATTATTATATACATGTATATATTATATATGTAAGGGATCAAAATCCCTTTACTAGCAGCAAAACATCTCAAACATAGAGAGTTACCCCCAGAAGTATTTCAAAGTATCCTATGTCAATACTCAAGATGTTACTTAAGCTTCTATACACATAATTTATGTTTATCTATTCATGAGCAAGAGCTAATCTTGAAGAGTTTGCACAGCTCTGGACAAATAAGACTGGTGAGAAATCAAGTTTAAAGGTTGCACAGCTCTGGACAAATAAGAGGAGATGTGGGAAATCAAGTTTAAAGGTTGCACAGCTCTGGACAAATAAGAGGAGATGTGGGAAATCAAGTTCAAAGGTTGCACAACTCTGGACAAATAAGAGGAGATGTGGGAAATCAAGTTTAAAGGTTACACAGCTCTGGACAAATAAGAGGAGATGTGGGAAACCAAGTTCAAAGGTTGCACAGCTCTGGACAAATAAGAGATGTGGGAAATCAAGTTTAAAGGTTGCACAGCTCTGGACAAATAAGAGGAGATGCGGGAAATCAAGTTCAAAGGTTGCACAACTCTGGACAAATAAGAGGAGATGCGGGAAAGCAAGTTCAAAGGATGCACAGCTCTGGACAAATAAGAGATGTGGGAAATCAAGTTTAAAGGTTGCACAGCTCTGGACAAATAAGAGGAGATGTGGGAAATCAAGTTCAAAGGTTGCACAGCTCTGGACAAATAAGACTGGTGAGAAATCAAGTTTAAAGGTTGCACAGCTCTGGACAAATAAGAGGAGATGTGCAAAATCAAGTTCAAAGGTTGCACAGCTCTGGACAAATAAGAGGAGATGTGGGAAATCAAGTTCAAAGGTTGCACAGCTCTGGACAAATAAGAGGGGAGGTGGGAAATCAATTATAATTCAAGGTAAAATTAGCTTTTATTCCTTGGATTAAAAATCATTCATCAGCATCAAAGTAACTTTTATTTAGGCGCATTCTCTACTAGATGAAGTCTGGTGTGTCGTACTAGGTTTGATTTCTGTGTAAAGCCTTTCAGACACTCTGAACACTGATATGGCTTTTTTTGTGAATGAACTCTCATATGTTGTATAAGTGAAGAATTTTGTGAAAAGTCTTTTAGACACTCTGAACAATGATATGGTTTTTCCTTCGTATGGACTCTCATGTGTTGTATTAGATGTGATTTTCGTGAAAAGTCTTTTAGACACTCTGAACAATAATATGGCTTTTCCTGGGTATGGACTCTCATATGTTGCATTAAATGTGACTTTCGTGAGAAGTCTTTGAGACAGTGTGAACACCAAAATGGTTTTTCCTGTGTATGAACTCTCATGTGTTGTATTAGATGTGGTTTTTGTGAGAAGTCTTTCAAACATGCTGAACACTGATAGGGTTTTTCCTGTGTATGAATTCTCATGTGTCGTACTACACTTGATTTAAGAGAAAAGTCTTTTAGACACTCGCAACACTGATATGGTTTTTCCTGTGTATGAGATCTCATGTGTTGTATTAGATTCGATTTATTTGAAAATTTTTTTTGACACTCTAAACACTGGTATGGTTTTTCCTGTGTATGAACTCTCATGTGTTGTGTTAGAGATGACTTGTTTTTAAAGTCTTTTAAACACTCTGAACAACTATATGGCTTTTCTTTTGTATGACTTCTCATGTGTTGTATCAGAGTTGCATTTTGTGAAAAGCCTTTCAGACACTCTGAACAATGGTACTGCTTTTGTCTATGAATTATCATGTGTCGTAATAGGTGCGGTTTTTGTGAAAAATTTTTTGGACATACAGAACATTGGTAAGGCTTCTCTTGTGTATGAACTCTAATGTGTTGTATAAGATGTGATTTTTTTGAAAATTCTTTTTGACACTCTGAGCACAAATATTTTTTTTGTCCTGAATGAACACTCTGGTGTCGAGTTAGTTTAGATTTTGTTGGACAAACTTTTATACACTCTTGATACTGATCAAGATTTTCTCCTGAAGAAATTCTCATGTGTTGCATCATGTTCTTCCTTCTGCAAAATTAATTAGGTACTTGAATAATGATACTGTCTTTCTACTGAATGAACTTTCATACATTACATGTACAGGTAATCCAAAATATCTGCCCAAAAAAAAAAAAATCTGAGAAAGATCATTTAAACACTGACAACACATATGATCACTTTTTATGTTTAATTTATTGCAGAAAGTATCTTGTGTGTAGAAAAATTTAATTTAAATCTTAAAAAGCATAAAATTTTATTTCCTAAATGAAATTTTATTTGATGATTTACCTAAGAGATAAGAGCACAGAGGGTGATATTTTTGCAATAAGTGCACACACTTGATACAAGCTGAAATTATACTTGGTAATAGGCAATTTAGCAGAAAGTGTCTATTAACCTTTTGAGGGTCTGTCATGTTGTTCTATGGCTTTAAAGCCAGGGTCCAAGCAGTAGTACTACATCATGAGAGAATGCATCTATGTAGTAAGTGTGTGTTGCAACCCCTGAATGGTTGCAATGATTATTATGTATATATATAATTATTACCTTTTCATTTAATTTTATATTGCTTATATTTGCGATAATAGCTAAATCGTAAATGTATTGCTTTATATTGTTATTTGACGTAGTTTCCTTTGTTAGGTAGGATGTAACATATTATGTGCTCAGTTCAAGTCTTGATTGTCTAACTACTGTAATTATCGCTTGTTGCTTGTTATACTGCCGGCTTCTTGCTGGGCAATTGCTGTCCACGGAGCTATCACGTGATCGAGGGGGGTTGTCCTCACCTCGCCTGAAGTATTCAGTCTGCTCTAGACTCGCTTGGTGGTTGGACAGATTGTCTGTCTCATTATTCTTGTTAGTTCTGTAGAACTCTGTTCACAGAACCTTGTATAGACTTAGTGATTTTCGACGTTGTACTGAGGTTGTGTGTCGCATAGACACTCTGAGTATCTCAGGTCCTGTAGCTTCTGACCTAACGTTGTACTGGTTTCTGTGTATTGTCACAGTTGGGTATTTTCTTATGCTGAACTTAGATTCAGTATTATGGGAGTTTTGTGACTTTTGTGGAGGATCTGCTGATGGTCCCTACTTAGTGTCGTTATATTATCTCCTTGTTCCTGATTGTGTGTCGCAGTTGCTTGTTGTATTGCTATTGGGCTTAGCATTCTTTTTATTGTTCAAGCAGACTGTTCTGGTTGCCAGTCGGTCAAGAAGTTGGTTTATTAGAGGACTTTGTCAGTCACTTGTTTAAGTCTAGTCGAGTCGTGAGACATAGCGAACTACTTAGAGCACTTACACGCATACACAAACTTGTACATATTTGTAATATCTTATTAAATGTTAATGTACCAGACGGTACTTAAGAATTATAAATGTGATATGTGCTTTCAGCACAATAATATTGTAAACGAGAGAAGTGATATTATTTTGATTACTGTGATTAATTTAATTTAATTTGATAATATACCTCTAGACTTAATAAATTTATTAAATTTTAATTTCTCTAGTTAGTAGCCTACCAGTTGTAATCCTGAAGCACTATTGAATTATACTGAATTCTTATGGATAATTGGACAAGGATACTGACTACTTGTTACGAAAACCCAGTAACAGGCTGGATGCTAGAAGGGCAGTCCTTTCTAGTATTCACTGGAGATCTCTAAGCTTTTAGAATCGCGTTTTTTGTAACAGTGTGCACCATATAAAACAAATCCTGCAGCACAAAGTGCATGAGGAAAAAAAAACTGTGACAGTGTTTTTGGATTAAATCAGCAACTTTGCAGTGTACAGTAGGGCCCCGCTTTACGGTGTTTCACCGTATGGCATTCCGCTAATACGGCGATGTCAAATTATTACCAAAATTTGCTATACGGCAAGCGGTCTTTCAAATACGGAGTGCCCCACCCGGTTTGTTTACATTCTCATGACACATCATATTGGGAAATTTTCCAAAATTTCAAGTGTTTTAAAGTTACTGCGCATTTTATATGTACTCTGATAATTTATCTTATGTGTACCTGTGAAATTATTACGACTGTCTGGTTGACGGTATCACTCTACAATAGGGTCTCTTACTAACTCTTTGGGCACGAAGTGTATTTTACATTAAGAAATAATTTACATTAATCCATTTGAATTTGCCTCAAAATTATAAAAAACCATTTTACATAGCAATATAAATGATATAATACCATAGAAAAAACATGACTAATATGAGATTTTTTAAAGAGTTGGTAGTTAGTGATGGGAGAGAATTTGGGTAGTTTACTCTATTTAGTTTAGAAGGGACCCTTGGGTTTAGTGCTTTTATAATAATTATATGATAATACTTTATCTTCAATTCACTCTAAAAGTGAGTGTTGCCCCTTTCCATGAGTTCATGCCTGACAATTGTGCAAGACAGGACTCACGACTAAGATGAAAGTTAAGACACTTGGCAACATTGTCACTTTATTGTAGACGTTTCGCCATCCAGTGGCTTTATCAATACAGTTCTTGGAATAACAAAAAGTAGAACTATATACAAAAGATGAGGTAATCAGTCCCTCACTTGAGGTGGACATGTTTAGAGCACCGTGGTTGTAGAGATTTAGGAGCCAAACGAACGAACAAGTTCAGGTTTAAATTCCCAATGGGATGAGTGGGAGCTGGACAGACGAAGAATAGCGAAGTTAGAGGGGTCCTGGTTGTAGAAATAGAGCCAGGCTCTGAAACCACGTACGAATATCGGGGTATGCTGGATGATAACAGGGCTTGGCTGGAAACTGTGGACGGCAGCAGTGGGCTTCTTCATGACTACAACAACTAACCTCAATTTGGGTGACTACTTCCACTGGGGTTTATCAGTGACTTGCCGGCGAAGTTTGCATAAAATATGTGCCTAATAAGCGCCAGTCTTGCTCTTTCGGGGCCACTCTATACACACGGTGCTCTGTAAAGCACACTAAAATAGTAGAGTTCTCTCTTTTATATATCTTCTGTTTTCTTGTTATGTCAAAATCTGTATTTATTAAGCCATGGATGGAAAGTTCTCAAATAAAGATAAAATGTTCAAGTGTCTGAACATTTATTTGTCGTATGTATACTTTGACTAATTGAGATTGAAAGCAACATGGAATTTGAGATTCGTATGTCATCTATTATACAATTCATGGCCTTTAATTAACTTTATTTGGTATAGGAATAATATAATTTTCTTCACTCATGATGTTGCTGTTTTCATTATGTGAGTTGTGAACGTTGTGCAAGAAGGTATAATGTAAATAAAAGATGAAAGTTAAGACCACTTGTGCAAACATCTGGTCAAACTTTATGTAGACGTTTGCCATCCAGTGGCTTTATCCATACAGGGTTCTTGGAATAAAAGAAAAAAAAAAAAAGAACTTATACAAAAGATGAGGTAAAAGTCCCTCAGCCCCTTGAGGTGGGGTTTAGAGACCCCCCCCGGGTTTTAGAGATTGAAGCAGAGGCGAAGAACCCGTTCAGGTAAGTTCCCCAAAGGGGGCGGGGAAAATGGGGCGAGGAGAAAAGCGAAGTAGAGGAGTGTTCCTGGTTGTAGAAATGAGCCAGGGCTTAACCCCGCAGCTGGCGATCGTGGGATGGAAATGGGGAGAACAGGGTTGTTGAGAATGTGGGACTTTGGGCAAATTCTTATGATCAAAAAAACTAACCCTTCAATTTGGGGTTAGGACCCATTCCCTGGGGAATCCCCCCTACCGTGATTGCCCTATTGCTACACGCCTATTTACTGATGCCCTTTTAAGCGCGTCTCCTTGCTCTGCTTAGAATCTTAAACCCCGGTGCTCTAAACACCACCTCCAAAGGGTGAGTGACTGTTCCCCTCTTCTTTTGTATATAGTTCTTCTGTTTTCTTGTTATGTCCAAGAATCTGTATTGATAAAGCCACTGGATGGCGAAACGTCTACAATAAAGATAACCAGATGTTGCACAAGTGTCTGAACTTTCATCTTGTCGGTATTGTATACCTGTCTTGCACAACTTGTCAGACACTGCAACATCATGGAATCTTGGTTCAGAGGACATCTACTTGACCTTCTTCATGGCTACAACAACTAACCTATCAATTTGGGTAGGACCTACTTCCACTGGGGAATCCTGCCTACCAGTGACTGTGTTGCTGTTTGTTTATTCTGTACTAAGTTGTATAACTTGTACACAATGTAAGAGTATTTGTATTGTGAGCTAATTATTATATAATAAAAAAGTATTGAGGTAAATGTTTTACAAACTCTTACAAACGTACGTGAATTAACTAAAAGTAGACACAAATTAACCCTTTGACTGTCGCAGGCCCCTTTCTGAAACTGTCATTCTATATCGCAAAATATTCGAAAAAAAAAAATTCTTATGAAAATGTTAAGATTATTTTTCAGTGTGTTTTAGTCCAAAAAAAAAATTTTTTTGCCATCAGTACTTACCGAGATATAAAGGCGTGAAGTTTGCAGAAAATGAGCCTCATATGGCAACAGTGGTGACTGCCACTCATCCGGTAAACTTTGGTTTACTTGTATTTGAAGGTTTGTTGTTTTTTTCACTATTTTATTTTTTCACATAACTTATGTGGCCTGTGAGACCAAAGTAAGGTGCAATGTACATATATACACTTGTTGTATACAACACAATAAGCACACAAACATAATTATCAATATATTGTTTACAAAACTTGTTTACAAAAACAAACAATACAAAAATTTTTTATTACTATTGTTCTATAATATATATACCAATGTACAGTCACCGAACATATTCCTAGAAGTTCTGCAGCTTGTGTAACTCTTTGAAACATGTTTTCATACACAATGGTGTTTCACACTCTCACACATAAAACCAGTGTGTGTGCATTTTTGTGGACTTTTTTTTTTATGTGCAAAGACAAAACACCTTGTCTGAGCAGTTTTCTTCAAAGTATTAGCAGGCAGTTGAGTTATGTAGTTATTTATTTTTATTATCACACTGGCCGATTCCCACCAAGGCAGGGTGGCCCGAAAAAGAAAAACTTTCACTATCATTCACTCCATCACTGTCTTGCCAG